TTTCGTGCTTTTTGGCTACTCGTCAGCATGGTCTAGGCTTAATCTCTCGTCTCTAGGAGGACGAACTGCGCGTTTGTTTTATTTTAAAAATATTTAGTTTATCCGAGTCTAAGACTTCGACGCCTCTGCATATAAGGTGTGCATTGTGTATAGCACTATTTAGCATCTAATTTACCAGATGACCTTCGATTTCTTCTCGGTAATTTATTGTTTATCGACAAGCTCCGGCGTTAATAACCGTCAACAACAGGATGCAAACGTAAAAGTAAATCGTTACTAATCATTATGTTAACGTTTTAGTGTTATTCTTACATTGATCAGAGAAGATGTACCATAACCATATCCGTTCACCTTTAACGAATCATGGTCGAACATATTGCGATAATAATACTGATGTCGTAACATTTATATTAATACTATTGGTTTTAGATTTTACATTGCTTTTGAATTAAAAAACAAAAAAATTAAATTCGAGGTAGGTATCTCATCGAAATAAAAATTAACACGTGAAATAAATAAGTTTCTGAAAAGGTAATTGTTCCTAAATGTAAAAGTATTACTCTGTTATTTAATCTTCAAATGTAACAATTTATTTTATCAGTTTCATCAACAAATGTCTGGAAGATAACATGTTTGCTCTTGCTAACTTCTATGATCTTACAAAAGCATTTTTGATTATGTCCAACATCACATTTTGATTCAAAAGTTGTCGTTATATGGTTTTAGTAATAATAGCCTGTCCTTAATTGCGTCTTATTTATCAGACAGAAGACAGTATGTTAGTTTTCAAAATTCTTTATCTATACTAAGTGACATATAAATCCGAACACCCAGTTTAAATGGTTTTATTTTAATAAAATTTTGTATAAGTACTTAATGAAGCATAATAAGTAAATGATAAAAATTTCAAAATGATTGCACTGCTTTAAAGCCCTTTGACCTTTAATAATGTGTGGATGCACCCTGATGTGCTACGCATTCTCCAAAGCGCCTAGGCATGCTTCTGATCAGGTGGTCAATGTCCTCCTGTGGTATCTCATTCCAGGCAACCACCAACTCCTCTCGAAGTGCTTCTAGAGTCTGAGGAGGACGTTGCAAATTGAGCAATCTCCTACCCATCATATCCCACACGTGCTCAATTGGGGATAAGTCAGGAGATCTTGGTGGCCATGGTAACAATGTGACATCATTATGTTGAAAGAAGTCTATTGTGACTCTTGCAACATGTGGTCGGGCATTATCTTGTTGGAAAGTTGGATCTGCCAGGGTGTCAAGATAGGGTAAAAGATGGGGTTCTAGAACTTCGTGGATATAACGCTGCGCGTTCATGTTACCTCTGATGAAGATTAAAGGTGACCTGGAACCATAAGCTATAGCACCCCAAACCATAACTCCAACAGTGTGATGAACATGTCTTTCAACAAAAAACTGTGGATTCCTCCTTTCACCACGTCGCCTTCTAACCCTGGCACGACCATCGTGCATGCCTAAACAAAATCGAGACTCGTCACTAAAGACAATACTGTTCCATTCCTGATCCCAGAGTGACCGTAGTCTGCACCACTCAAGGCGATTACGTCGGTGTTCTCGAGTTAAAGGGAGGACCCAGTGTGGCCGGTATGAAAACAAGCCAAAACTTCTCATTCGTCGGTAAACACTTCGCATGCCAATAGGTCTTCCGTGTTCTGCAAACCATTCATTTGCAATGGACCTGGTAGTGGAGAAACGGTCCCTTAAGGCCAATAATCTTAGGCGGCGATCTTCAAGGTCTGTTGTTCTACGGCGGCGTCCAGTGCCCCTTGCTCTTTGCGTACGGCCTTCTCGAAGCCATGCCTGACAACACCTAACCACAGTGTCTACACTTCTTTGCACTCTAACTGCAACTGCCCGAAAAGAAAGTCCAGCTTCCCGAAGTCCCACTATACGGCCCCTATCAAACTCACTAAGTTGACGAAATCGTACAGGTCTCCGTACTCTAGGCATCGTAACCGATCGTAAAGGATGTCAAGAACCAAAATCCGCCAACGTTGATTCTTTACTGCGGCTGAAATATTCATTTTTAGAGCGTTAGTGAATTAAAAAAAGCAGTATAAAAACCGGAATGTCCAACTGATAAGGCTGAAAATTTTTTCACTTGTTATTTACAGTAATATAAATACATTCACCAACTTTTATTAAAATAAAACCATTTAAACTAGGTGTTCGGATTTATATGTCACTTAGTATAACAGTGTACATATTAAGCAAGGAGTTCCCCAAGGAAGTGTCTTGGGACCGATTCTTCTTTTTGATTCACATCAGTGATCTGCCAAACTTGACAATAAAAGGCTGACTGTTGACGACTTTCAAGCCTTGGAACGCGGAAATATATTTTTTCAAGTAAATCCGGACAGTCAATTTGATTGTGCATAAGGCCATATAAAAACGATAAGGCAAACATATTATGTCTAATTGATAGTGAGTCTAAATCGAATAAATTCAAATGGATATGATGACAAAAGCTGTTTCTGGATACGGACCAGTACATTTAGGGGTAAAAATAGCCTTACGTTGAACGTCTTCAATCATTGAAACTGAATTTAGGTACATTGGAGACCAGATCACTTGCTTCTGATAAAAGTAACGAACAAAGTCATCAAAGTACTGACATTGGAGAACCCCTTCCAGTTTCTGATACAGAAGCCAAGTAGTCTGGTTGCAGCCGATGAGACATTAAGTATATGTTCGCTAAACATTTGCCTGCTATCAAAGGTTACTCCAAGGTCCTTAAAAGAGTAGCATCTGCCTAGATCCTGACCGTTGACGTTATAATCATCATATATTAAATAATTTGTCTTTCTTTAGAATTAGATAATATGGGGCGCTAGATCTGAATTTATTTGTGAAATGAATGCTGAACGGTCATGTAAATCTCAATTTTTTGATTTTATTATTGACACGGATGTTTTCTTGTGTTGCACTGATGATGGAGTTGCGTATTAAGTGCAGAGTCAAGCCATTTTCTTCAGGTAGAATACATTAATCAACTTGGAAGTACATCAGTATTTTCAATTAATTTCGTGTATTGTATCGCGCTACCATTGCCAGCATAAGAAATTAAAACGCCGTCAATGCTCGTACTCGCTGTAAAAGACTAAAGACAAAGCCTCTTTGTACAGGCATAACTCGACGTAATTATACAGAAGAAGGTGCTCTTGACCGTCGGTACCCTCTAAAGACCGAAGACTGTTTTCCAAAACATCTCAAATTACAATCAAGCATACAAAACCAGATCCACTCCGAACAAGCTCGCTTATTCAAAGGCCCGGCTTAATGGATTACGTCTCGCGTTCGAAAACTTCAGATTTTCTATTTCATTGTGCCATTGTAAAGATAAACGAGGAGATGATAAAAATTATAAAGCCGCTTTTAGTTAGTACCTGTGGATCAGCCATCCCTACAGGTAGGTAGCGGTGCCGAACCTAGATGCAGGTCCGTATTCAGGATGGTGTGAATCATTTGGAATACGCGGAACTTCTAGTCCTATGGCTGTTTTTGTCAAATTGTACAGTTATGTAAAGGCGTTTTTACCTGGAAGACAAACTTTTTATTACAAAGAAGTGTTTTTATACAGGGTGTCCGCAAAGTTGGGGTTTTCCTTTACACGACGTGTAGATCTTGAAAACATAAGCAATTTTTCTTAGTACCATATACACCAATGTCTTAAGCGAACCGAGATAAAGGGCTCTGCAACATCAAAAATATCTGAATACCGTCCTGTAGCCGCGACTCGCGATATCCCCGACTGGTACTAGGACACTAGCTCAACCCGACGACAGAAACAATACCGGCAACGCTGCCCCCGCAAGACACGGCGTCGAGTCTGTTTTGTACTGAGAAAGCATTATAATCGACCAATTGTGTACTTGTCATTTTCGTCGCGACCGCAGCGTAACATTATTCATGGGTCACTTGAAAACGGTCTGTGCACTACTTCGACACAAGCCGCACGCGCTTGCTTTTGTCTCTCTCTACAAAAACAAATGCGCGATTTAAGCATAAGCATGTGCTGCAAGTTATACAGATTCGTACAGATCTAATGCGAAGTACGATATCTGATTGGTCGTTCGTGCTAGGTCCTCGGAGATATTGGCATATGGGTGTTGTCGAGTGACGTGGCTTAAAATTTGAATGCGAAAATTTTGTTATTTAGGTATTTTGGGTCTTACGTTGAGTGAGTAGTGACTCACTGACTGACTGCCTGAGTAGAAGGGTAGTGCAAGACAATTGATGTGGTTTACATACTTATCAGCGTGAAACGATTCTGGAAATACATATTTGAAGAAAAAATTGAGCTGAACGTGTTAGGTCGATCGTTGCCGGACATATTTATAGAAACACAGGGAGTTAGTCGGGGCAAGTGCTATACGCGGCAGTTCAGCAGGGAGATTTACACCAGGAATGACTGGATTTGTGGGTGCAACAGGAAGAATGCCCTTTTCTGCTTTCCTTGCATAGTTTTCAGCGGTGACAAAGCTTGGAAGGTGGTAGGTGTTACAGATTTAGTGCATCTGAGTGAAAAAATTAAGAAGCATGAAGACTCTAAAACACATCTTCATAATTCGATGGAATTGGCTTTATTGGGGACTGTTAACATCAGAGCTCAGTTAGATTCAGCATATTCGAGAAATATACAACAGCATAATGATACCGTTACAAAAAACCGGTATGTTCTGTCAAAAATAGTCGATTGTTGCGGAGCATTTGAAATGGCGCTACTATCTCTTTTGACATTTTTGATACAAAATAGTTTGGAGGAAACATTAAAAGAAACAAAAAAGCTATTAAAAATTATTGTTACAACTCCTATGTAAACATCAGAGGCTGAGCTAAATTTCTCAACATTGAAAAGAATCAAGACCTTTCTTCGGAATACTATGACCCAGGATCGCCTTACAGCGTTGTCGATGCTGTCCATTGAAAAGGAATCTATTTCGACCATGGAAAATTTCAACGGGAAGGTGATCGACAAATTTGCTGCCAAGAAGGAGCGCAAGATCGAACTGACGTATAAAAAATAGGTAAGTTCGGATTTGCAGAACACTTGTTTTATTTTGCCACGAGCCGCCACTGCTGTGAGTTGACAGCTGGGCCACGGTTAAACATTCCAAATGAAGGGATGAGAAAAAGGGGTGCGTCGATAACTTATAAGAGGGGACTTGCAGGTTTTTTGCGAATCTGTAGTCTCTGTAGTTTCCATGTACGTATGTATGTTTTCAAGATATATCATTGTACCTGGATGTGACCTTGTCCATGACCTCCTAAGGTCAAAGCTTAAGAATGATCAAGACCATATTTGAACGTAAAATTTTCGACTCTTTACATTAACTGTGTGAAAAATGGAGGGTTCCATTTAAAAAATCTATACTAAGTGACATATAAATCCGAACACCCAGTTTAAATGGTTTTATTTTAATACAATTTTGTATAAGTACTTAATGAAGCATAATAAGTAAATGATAAAAATTTCAAAATGATTGCACTGCTTTAAAGCCCTTTGACCTTTAATAATGTGTGGATGCACCCTGATGTGCTACGCATTCTCCAACGCGCCTAGGCATACTTCTGATCAGGTGGTCAATGTCCTCCTGTGGTATCTCATTCCAGGAAACCACCAACTCCTCTCGAAGTGCTTCTAGAGTCTGAGGAGGACGTTGCAAATTGAGCAATCTCCTACCCATCATATCCCACACGTGCTCAATTGGGGATAAGTCGGGAGATCTTAGTGGCCATGGTAACAATGTGACATCATTATGTTGAAAGAAGTCTATTGTGACTCTTGCAACATGTGGTCGGGCATTATCTTGTTGGAAAGTTGGATCTGCCAGGGTGTCAAGATAGGGTAAAAGATGGGGTTCTAGAACTTCGTGGATATAACGCTGCGCGTTCATATTACCTCTGATGAAGATTAACGGTGACCTGGAACCATAAGCTATAGCACCCCAAACCATAACTCCAACAGTGTGATGAACATGTCTTTCAACAAAAAACTGTGGATTCCTCCTTTCACCACGTCGCCTTTTAACCCTAGCACGACCATCGTGCATGCCTAAACAAAATCGAGACTCGTCACTAAAGACAATACTGTTCCATTCCTGATCCCAGAGTGACCGTTGTCTGCACCACTCAAGGCGATTACGTCGGTGTTCTCGAGTTTAAGGGAGGACCCAGTGTGGCCGGTATGAAAACAAGTCAAAACTTCTCATTCGTCGGTAAACACTTCGCATGCCAATAGGTCTTCCGTGTTCTGCAAACCATTAATTTGCAATGGACCTGGTAGTGGCGAAACGGTCCCTTAAGGCCAATAATCTTAGGCGGCGATCTTCACGGTCTGTTGTTCTACGGCGGCGTCCAGTGCGCCTTGCTCTTTGCGTACGGCCTTCTCGAAGCCATGCCTGACAACACCTAACTACAGTGTCAACACTTCTTTGTACTCTAACTGCAATTGCCCGAAAAGAAAGTCCAGCTTCCCGAAGTCCCACTATACGGCCCATATCAAACTCACTAAGTTGACGAAATCGTACAGGTCTCCGTACTCTAGGCATCGTAACCGATCGTAAAGGATGTCAAGAACCAAAATCCGCCAAAGTTGATTTTTTACTGCGGCTGAAATATTCATTTTTAGATCGTTAGTGAATTAAAAAAAAGCAGTATAAAAACCGGAATGTCCAACTGATAAGGCTGAAAATTTTTTCACTTGTTATTTACAGTAAGATAAATACATTCACCAACTTTTATTAAAATAAAACCATTTAAACTGGGTGTTCAGATTTATATGTCACTTAGTATATTTGACCTTCAAATTACCTTTAAGGTCACGGCATAGGTCAAATCCAAGGTCACCATTGAATAGCTAGTGAAAATCGTTAACGATCGCTTCATTCTTTGGATGCCGAAATAGTGTATGAAGTTGGTTACCCTCACGTAGAAAGCGACCCATAGTTTTATACATATCCAAATCCAGTCCTGGTCTACTGAGTATAACCATCATAAACGCACCTAATAAATTTTCCCGGCTGACAGATAAAGCCGAACGAGCCCAGCGAGATGTAGATGCATCTTTCTAGATATGATAAAATGACGTAGGATGAAGGGAAAAGGAAATATGACCACGGTCTCTAGGACGCAGAGATGAAGAGATGCCGACTACTAATAACCTGGCTTGTTATGGCCTACGATTTCCTGTCACTAAAACCATCGTATACAAGGATAGCGCTCAATTATAGGCTTTAGGGGACCATAACATTGTTAGGTAAGAAAAACAGTCAAATCGGTTGACTCTGCACTTGCTACGCATCGCCGTCAGCAGGATTAAGTTTAGAATAATTTGAATCCTCTGAGAAAACAGGAACAAAAGTAGATTAAAAATGCCTGTTTTATGTTTTATTTTATTCCATGTTATAGGTTGTCTGTGACTATGTACCTGGTACGGTATTTTATTCACTACTTCTGTCAATAAGAATAATGTATTCTTGGACAATACAGTATACTTTGATCGATTGATTGATTGCCTTTGGTCTCCGTGTTTCCTATTTTCAATGAATAAATGCAGTATACATTTCAGAGCCGAGAAATAAACATGTCAGATTTTATTGCCCGGGGCGATATATAATACAGATTTAGTGAATCACACAAATTACATCTTATTGCAATCTTTAGTCTTCCGATAAATCATAGATATTTGCATAAAAACTATTTTTAGAAATGATACTTTATGGAAGTAGTTTATGTGTGAAGTTAAATATACACCGTACACTCAAATACGCAAACCACGATAGCTATTTTTAGTCCACATTCTTTAAATAAAACTCCGGATCAGATACTTTGTGTACAGTCAAAAAAAAATCGCTGGAACATAGTGTTGCAACCTATATGCGGTAAATGGTGGTCCAAGATTAATATGCTTTTATTTTTAAGGGTATCTGAATTTGTTGAACAACCTAACACCCATTTTATTTAGATTGCATTCTGTTCTGGACAATCTGTGTGTGGGAACCTGTAGGATAAGCGAATTTGTTGATAAGTACCCGTTATGGTCGTTCAGCTTCGGAAAATCATCTAAATTAGACTGTACATGTAACAACAGATCGAAAATGTATGTGGATGGCAAAGTTCGTATTCCCAGCTGTTTGAAAGAGGCTCTACAGCTCATCTTGGAGTACACGTACCACTTTTTTTTGCTTAGTATACTCGATTTGTTTCAGTAGTAACACCAAAAAACATTATGCCACATGACAAAGTTATAGTAATAAGTCAACCGCAAAAATTTGTCAGTGGACCTCCGTTAATCCGACAAACATTATGCAGGGCAGTGTCGGACTATCGAATTTGTCGGATTATAGAGCACTGCCGGAATTTTTTACAAAAGAGTACCATGTAATCCGACAAATTACATATCCAATGGTAAGATTATACTTCGAAGTTGAGTCATTTATCAGATCTGATCAAAAGAAATGTTTTTTTCCTTTACCATTTTTCTGGTAAAATTAAAGTAACAAAGTTATAGCCCTTTGGAAGTTTGAGTACCGCCCTGTCTCAATAATAATATTATGTGCTCGTGTTTGGTTCATCGCATCGGAAACAAAAAAGCGAAAGAATTTGGAACGATGTTTTTACAATTATTTTAGTCAGTTGTATACAGTCAGTGTCAGTCGGTAACGCGTTTGAATAGTGGTGTCTGTTGCGTGGCTCAAACGAAATAAAAAATGGCACATGTTTATTCGGATCGGTTTCCCAATCGAGTGCAACCAACCCCTCGTGCCTTTGTTAATGTAGTACAACGGGCTCGTGAATCAGGTGACTTAAGACCACACAGGGGACTGCATGCCGGTGCTCCAAGACTTCACAATCAAATACAGGTCCGCACTGAAATACTTGTCGGGAGGATACTTTATAAAACAAGGTGAAAAAATTTTTTTATTTTTACACACATATTTTGGTTTATCTTCCTTCTACAATCATTATCTGAAAATTAATGACTCAACTTCAAAGTCACCCTGTATATGTTAGGTATATGTATGTACCTTGAAGTACAAATCATACATAGTTTAAGTATGTCGAATTTAGTAAATTAAATAACAATAGAGAGCTTACGTTTTATTATAAAATTAAGCATAAATGCACATACATATGTACCAAAATAATCAAGAATTATTAATCAAAATTATTGATGAATTTATCAAATTATGAAGCTCGGAAATATTCATCAATTTTTTTTTGTTTAAGGTTGTTATAACGCGAGATCAGAGCTTTATACCTCAGTAAAAGTTCGTTGTAGGATGTACCATTCTCTTCAGCCCATTGTAAACCTAGCTCAAAGGCATTAATTGCATCTTGTGCTGTGACTTGTGGAGCAGTCGTAATCACGTCGTCGTTATTTTCCCGATTGTTTGTTAGAATTAGAAACCTCTTTTATAACCTCTTCGTCAGACATTTAATGAAAAACATTTTCCTCTTTATCCATTCCACGGCACCAGATTTCCAAATCTTCCGGACTTATCTGTGTTTCAGTAGAGACTTGTTCTATAACTTCCGAAGTAACACTGATTTGTGGAACGTTGCTAGGAGTAGTGACTATATCTGGCCGTAACTTTTTCCAAGACGATTTAATAGTTGATGACGGTAACGCGACTGACAAAGAGAGATACGGTTCTCAGAAGTAGGTTTTTCTTATAGTCTTGCTTGGCAAACTGAATGATATTCTGGTCCATTGGTTGAATCAGTGCAGTGACTTAACCTGCAAGCTATGATCGTGGCTGAAATTTCCATAAGTAAACCAACGAATTGCATTTTATTTGCGTTGAGCAGGAGCCCATTATCTTGGAACCATTGCCGTGTTCTTTGTAGCTCTTCAGTCTACTAATAAAGATGTATCGTCAACATAGTTATTACTACTGAAGGCATTCACAAAACTTATATGCAGCAATGGTCCCAAGCTAGAGCCCTGCGGAACTCCCATTTTACTTTTACGTATTTCAGAGCTGTGATTTTCAATTTCAACATACTGTGATCTGTTGGACGAATAATTACGAAACCACTTAAGCAGTGCTCGTATTCAATAGCATTAAAGCTGC